CTCTGCTGCGGGAAGGAGCTGAGGATGGGCCCGGGGAAGGTGACCACCGAGGCCGGGGGCTGGATGACCACCGTGGAGTCGGGGCACTGGCGCACGCAGGGCTCGTTGGAGGTGTCAGCCAGAGGGGCCGGGGTGGCCACCCCGCAGCTGGGGACACACAGGCTGTTGCAGGACATCCTTGGGTTCGGCTGGCAGAGCTGCAAGACAAGGCACAGCCGCGGCTCACGCCGAGCACTCGGCACACAAAGCCCTGCTGCTCTCGCCCGCCTGCAGCCCGTGTCCCAGGGCTCGCTCTGGCTCTTCCCAGGTATTCTGAACCAAGCCCGTTCCATCTAAATGCCTGCTCACAACCCTTGCTGCCCTCTCCATCCCTGAATCTTGCTGTCCCATGGGAACTTAGAAGACTTTGGCATCCGAAGGAGCAAAGTCCTCAAGTTTCCCAAGCCCTTGGTCGCCTGGTAGAACCCAAACCACCCAACTCTGCTCTAGGAGAGCAAGAGGGGCCCACAGGCAAGGGTTCTTCCAAAAAGCCCCAGACAAAGATTCCATGAGAAAGCCATGGTTGAAGAAGGAAAGAGGAGAGAAGGCTTGCACTTACCAAGGTGATAAGACGAGTCAAGTGGTGGAAGGTGGATAGAGCTCTGTGGAACTTCTGGACCTTTTATACATCTCCGAAAGGGCCTGGGGCATCAGGAAAGGGAGCGGTGGCAAAAAAACAAGCAATTAGGAATTCAAGCTGACAAGCTTCATCAGAGAGATAATGTTGCAATACAATTATACACCTCAGCATCAGGGAGATTGGTGTGGAAACGTGCCCTGGACCGATGAGAGGGGATGGGAGGGACAGCCGTGGCCCATCATTAGGTGACAGACTCGGTGCTGCTGGAGCTCAGCTCACAGCCTCAGTAAACGCTGCTCTGTCCCTAATCCTTCACTTTGCTTACAAAGAATCTCAAGCATCCTTTGGGACACTGCTGTGCCCGGCTCCACCACCCTGAGCCCCAGCCCGGCCGTGCCCCTGAGCCAGCCGTGCACAGCAGGGCCTGGCCTGGGCCAGCCTGGCTCTGGGGGGCTCGGCCAACATCCCCTGGGCCAGCCCTTGGCGCCAGCTGGGCAGTGCAGACCCTCCAGCAGGGCCCAGCTCACACACACGGGCCGGGAGGAGCCACAGGGACCCTTCGGCTCCTCCCGTGCTGTCCCCTCTGTCACGGCTGGCCCGGGCTCTGTCCCACCGCTCTCCCCCTTCCCTGGGGCTTTGGGGTTCCACCAGTGGGATCTGCCCCCTCTGCGGGGCCATCAGGGATAACTGGGACATGCAAACCTCAACGTCCTCCAGAACACCAAAGGGGCAATTCACAGTCGTGTCAGGGGACCCCAAAACCTGGCCATGAACATTTCTGCTGGCACTGGCAGCCGGTGGGATTTGGGAGACACGCCGAGAGTGGCTTCTCCTTTGCCCACGCTGCCGCTGCCTCTGTTTACCAGCCCGTAAAAGGCCGGTAATGACAGGGGTGATGACTGGGACAGCACTTCAAAGCTGCTGCAAGATTCCTGGAATTGCTCTCTGTAAGCAAACTGAGGGATTAGGGACAAACAAGGGTTTATTGGGGCTGAGAGCTGAGTGAGCTCCAGCAGCACCGTGTCTGTCACCTAATGATGGGCCACGGCTGTCCCTCCCATCACTTCCTTCGTGTCCAGAACACGTTTTCACGCCAATGTCCCCAGTGAGGGGATGCCATGGAATTATCTTGCAACATTATCTCTCTGATGAGGCTTGTCAGCGTGAATTCCTAATTACTCGGGTTTTTTGTCACCACCCCCTTTTCCTGAAGCCCCAGGCTCTCTGGGGTGTATAAAAGGGCTGAGCTTCTTCCACAGCTCCATCCGCACTTCTCCACTTGACTCCTCTCATCACCTGGGTAAGTGCAGCTCTCCGAAGCCTCTTGGGGATCTCTCTCTGTCTCCTTCCCTGAAATTCCTCCATCACACCTTTGCCTCTTTTTCCCTGGGTGTTTTCCAGAAACCTTTCCCTGTCTCAAGGATGTCCTGCAACAGCCTGTGTGTCCCTACCTGCGGGGTGGCCACCCCGGCCCCTCTGGCTGACACCGTCAACGAGCCCTGTGTGCGCCAGTGCCCCGACTCCACGGTGGTCATCCAGCCCCCGGCCTCGGTGGTCACCTTCCCCGGGCCCATCCTCAGCTCCTTCCCGCAGCAGAGTGCCGTGGGCTCGGCCGGAGCTCCCTACGTGGGAGCCGGCTCCGGAGGCGCCTTTGGAAGCCGTGGGGGCTACGGGGGCTACGGGAGCCTTGGAGGCTATGGAGGTTACGGAGGTTGGGGCTATGGAGGCCGTGGTCTCTATGGCGGCTGGGGCTATGGAGGCTTTGGGGGCTATGGGGGCTATGGCAGCTGTGGCTACGGCGGCTTGTGCAGTGGCGACCGCTTCCTCAATGGCAACTGCGGGCCCTGCTAAGCCCCAGCCCGAGCACGGCCTCAGACCAAGAAGAGCTCCAGGAGAAACCCCGGCACATCCCGACCCGACGCTCCATGGACCAAAACTCCTTAAGCATCGCCGGGCTCTGCAGCTCGGAAGCCTGGTGCCAGCTTGGGAAGCAGCTCTGCCTTGTCCCTGCCCTGCCTGAGCATCCCCACGGGGCTCCTGGTGCCTCGGTCCCAGAGACTCACCCGGGGCTGCTCCTGCTTGCCCGGCTGTGCCCAGGGCCAGGCCACGGGAAGCCCTTGGCCATGACCCTGCTCTTCTGCCCAGCCCCTCCTGCCCTCCCCCTGCAATAAAAGCTGTCTTGCATTGCAATGTTGACTCCTGGTTTTCCTTCACCCTCCCTTTTGCCGCTGCCCAGTCTCCTGGGGGGCTGCTGGGCTGTTGCAATGCCCCTGGGCAGTGCCCTGGAGCTCGGGCACAGCTGGCTCCCTGTGTCCCAGCTGGGGATGTCCAACCCGCTGGCTCTGGGGGGCTCATCCCCCCAGCTCCCCATGCTCTCCCAGCAGCAGGAAATGCACCACAACCCCAAATCCCTCGCTGATGATGGGAAAGGACCACGAGGGGCCTTTGGAAGAAATTCTTCCAAATCTTCAGCAGAAGCAGCAAAGCTGACATCACTTCTGGGACTGGGTTTAGTTGAGATGGTCACAATACAAAGCAACACTCCATTTTCAGAAGGCTTCAAACCTGATTTTATTTTAGCATGCATGCTTTCCATACATTCTTACAAAACTCATAGTTTAATCATTGGTCAGGAAAGACAAAGTGCTCATTGGAACAGGCAGTTGCAGGTTCCTCTTATTTCTCCTTTTCTTTCTTGGTTTCCCTGTCAAGAACCTTGGTAGGAAATCCTTTCAGGGGTGAACATGGATCCTCTTCTCAAGCTTCCCTCTGGCTCACAGAAGTCGCTGTAAATCCTGTCCCACACCGTGCTGGTGCTGGTCAGTCTCATGGGGATGCAGGATGAGCGCTGCCTGTCCCAGGTGTTGTGGCCTGTCCGGCTGGAGGCGGTGGCAGCTGGGAAGGGAGGAGACAGACCCGAGCAGATCTTGCCCAGTCTCCTCTCCACGCCAAGCAATGACCACAGGCTTCAGTCCCGCGGGGCTCTTGGAGGAGGAGCGTGGAGTTTCCCACCTCCCTGAGGTCCCTTCTATTGCTTATTGATATGTATGAAAATTTCTTCCTAAATTAACACCAGAAACTCCCTGGGTTTGGGATATCATTTGTTTTAAGATCATCTAGATCAGTTTTAGACAATATTATTTCATATTCTGTCCATATTATTTTATACTCTGTCCATATTATGGCAATAGTCCCATTGTACCCAATATTACCAATCTATTAAATAATATTTTAATATCGGCCATGTAATTCAGTGCGAGCAGGGGCAGCAAAGGTCACCGCGGTGTGTCCCTGAGCCCGGGGCTGTTGGAATTTCTGCTGCCGCTCCTGGGCAGGGCCGTGTCCCTGGTGAGGGGTGGGTGACACCGGGGACCCCAGGAAGGGCCTCGGCACCCGCAGAGGGGCGAGGCGGGGCCGGCAGCGCTCCAAGGAGCCGCGGTGGAACCCACAGGAGAAGCGGGAGCAGGAGGCGGTGCGGGGAGCTGGAATGTTCCAGGGGATGTGGGAAGAGCGGCAGCGCTGCTGGGGCTGTTCTCCCTCTCCCTGCGGAGCCGGGGCTGCCCGAGAGCCCCGAGCGGGGCCGCGTCCCTTGGGGGGCTCCACTGGCCCCCAATCCCCACGGGCCTGGGGCTCCAGCGGCCCTCGGGGGGGATGTCGCAAGGGCAGGGGGCTGGCGGTGGGGCCCGGGGCTCCTGAGGGGCTGCAGAGAGGAGCCGGGAGGGGTCAGGAGGCGGGCAGGGCCAGGGAGAGGTGCCGTGGCAGGGGCTGGGCAGTGTCCGGCTCGGGGGGACTCTGCTGCGGGGCTGGGGCGGCCAAGGACGGGCAGGAGGAGCCCGGGCAGCTGCCGGGGGCTCCTCGCCCGCCGTGTCCGAGCGGGGCTGCCCGGAACCCTCCCGGCAGGCGGGCCGGGCTGGGCAGCGGGCGCGGAGCAAAGAGCAGCCGAGAGCCGGTGAACATTGCAGTGCGAGGCAGCTTTTATTGGCGTGCGGGGGCAGGGGGGCGGCAGCGGAGCGGGGCCCTGGCCGAGGGCTCCCCGCGGGTCCCGGCCGCGGGCAGAGCAGGAGCCGAGCTGGGGCCGTGCCGGGAGCGGGCAGCGACCGCTGCGGGGCTCCGAGGGATGCGGCGGGGAGGAGGCGGAGCTGGGCCGAGGGATGTCTGTCTGTCTTTCTGTCTGTCTGTCTGTCGGTGCGTCCTTCCTTCGGGCCTTGGCGTGCGGGGATGGGCCGGGGGCGTTCCTGGAGCTCTCCTGGATCAGGGATGGCGCTCGGGCTGGGGCTTAGCAGGGCCCGCAGCCTCTGGGGACGCCGCAGCTGCCCCCAAAACCTCCGAATCCCCCAAGGCCGCCGGAGCCCCCACGGCTTCCAAAGGCGCCCCCGGAGCCGGTTCCCACGTAGGGAGCTCCGGCCGAGCCCACGGCGCTCCGCTGCGGGAAGGAGCTGAGGATGGGGCCGGGGAAGGTGACCACCGGGGCCGGGGGCTGGATGACCACCGTGGAGTCAGGGCACTGGCGCACGCAGGGCTCGTTGGAGGTGTCAGCCAGAGGGGCCGGGGTGGCCACGCCGCAGCTGGGGACACAGCAGGACATCCTTGAGACTGGGAAAGGCTTCTGGAAAAAAAACTGCGGGAAAAAAAAGAGGCAAAGGTGTGAGAGAGGAGTTGTGCTGAGAGAGATCCCCAAGAGGCTTCGGAGAGCTGCACTTACCCAGGTGATGAGAGGAGTCAAGTGCAGGAGTGCGGATGGAGCTGTGCAAGGAGCTCAGCCCTTTTATACAGCCCAGAGAGCCGGGGGCATCGTCCGGGGGTGCGGGCAGACCCCCCTTCCCCAATAATTACGAATTCACGCTACCAAGCTTCATAAAGTGCAGGGACGCAGAAAAATTCTGTCACCCCCCCATTGTGGACATTGGTTTGGAAATGAGTGGACAAAAGAGAGGCGCTTTCAGGGACAGCAGTGGCCCATCATTACATGACAGACACGGTGCTGCTGGATCTGAGCCCACAGCCCTAATAAAACCAGGTTTTTCCCTAATCCCTCAATTTGCTTACTTAGAAAAATCCCGGCATTTTGCAGCAGCTTTGGAACGCTGTCCCAGCCATCACCCCTGTCATTACCGGCCTTTTACGGGCTGGTAAACAGAGGCAGAGGCAGCGTGGGCAAAGGAGAAGCCACTCTCGGCGTGTCTCCCAAATCCCACCGGCTGCCAGTGCCAGCAGAAATGTTCATGGCCAGGTTTTGGGGTCCCCTGACACGACTGTGAATTGCCCCTTTGGTGTTCTGGAGGACGTTGAGGTTTGCATGTCCCAGTTATCCCTGATGGCCCCGCAGAGGGGGCAGATCCCACTGGTGGAGCCCCAAAGCCGCAGGGAAGGGGGAGAGCGGTGGGACAGAGCCCGGGCCAGCCGTGACAGAGGGGACAGCACGGGAGGAGCCGAAGGGTCCCTGTGGCTCCTCCCGGCCCGTGTGTGTGAGCTGGGCCCTGCTGGAGGGTCTGCACTGCCCAGCTGGCGCCAAGGGCTGGCCCAGGGGATGTTGGCCGAGCCCCCCAGAGCCAGGCTGGCCCAGGCCAGGCCCAGCTGTGCACGGCTGGCTCAGGGTGGCTGGTCCGGGCGCAGCCATGTCCCAAAGGATGCTCGGGATTCTTGTGTAAGCAAAGTGAGGGATTAGGGACAAACCTGGGTTTATTGGGGCTGTGAGCCGAGTGAATTCCAGCAGAACCAAGACTGTCATGTAATGATGGGCCACGGCTGTTCTTCTCATCGGTCCAGGCACGTTTGCACAGCAATATCTCCAAAAAGGCGATGACAAAGAACTGTTGCCCATCATTAGCTGTGTCATTTACCTTGTCCGCTTGAATTCCTAATTACTGGGGTTTGCCCCCACCCCCTGGACGGTGCCCCAGGCACTCTGGGGTGTATAAAAGATCCGAGGGCTCCACAGGGCTGCATCCAGCTCTCCCCACTCGACTCTGCTCATTGATCGCTGTGGTGAGTGCCTCCGTCCTCCCTCCCTCCTCTGAGCCTTCCCCGGGGAGTCTCTGGCTGTGGAATTCCCAAGGGATCTCTGCCCCTGTGGAATCCTCGAGGTATCTCTGTCCCTGTGGAATCCCCGAGGGATCTCTGTCCCTGTGGAATCCCCGAGGGATCTCTGTCCCCGCGCTCCAGCAGCTGTCCCAGGGCAGAGTTGGGGTGGTTGGGGTTCCACCAGCGGGCTCAAGGCCTCGGGGAGCCCGGAGCTTTGGACGAGGGAGTTTTTCTTCGCTGCCACGGGCAGGCAGGAGCCGGGGGTGGTGAGGGCAGCCGGGCATTCCAGGAGCCGCTCCAGCCGTGCCAGGGCTTGGCTGGGAAGGCCTGGGAAGAGCCAGAGCGAGCCCTGGGACACGGGCTGCAGGCGGGCGAGAGCAGCAGGGCTTTGTGTGCCGAGTGCTCGGCGTGAGCCGCGGCTGTGCCTTGTCTTGCAGCTCTGCCAGCCGAACCCAAGGATGTCCTGCAACAGCCTGTGTGTCCCCAGCTGCGGGGTGGCCACCCCGGCCCCTCTGGCTGACACCTCCAACGAGCCCTGCGTGCGCCAGTGCCCCGACTCCACGGTGGTCATCCAGCCCCCGGCCTCGGTGGTCACCTTCCCCGGGCCCATCCTCAGCTCCTTCCCGCAGCAGAGCGCCGTGGGCTCGGCCGGAGCTCCCTACGTGGGAGCCGGCTCCGGGGGCGCCTTTGGAAGCCGTGGGGGCTCCGGCGGCTTTGGGGGCTTTGGGAGCTATGGGGGTTTTGGCGGATTTGGGGGCTACGGCAGCTGCGGCCGCGGTTCCCGCTCCTTCGGAGGCCCCTGCGGGCCCTGCTAAGCCCAATCCCCGCCG